TGGGAGGATAAGAAGTTTTACGTGAAGAGGTGATATGAGGAGGGGAGGGAAGTGAGGTGAGTGGTTCCAGATCCATAGAGTATTTTGGTAAGTTAATAAAACTTGGAATGCCCAGTGATATGTTCTTTTTGTAATTTATATTTTGAGTGATGTGTATATAAATGGTGATGTGTGTGTGAAGATGTAGCTTCTGAATGTCTGCATGTAGTTATTAGGGGCTATAAAAGTGGTCAATATTAGGGACAATTATATTATTTATTAAATTTAATTGATACATTTATGTATAATATAATTTTGTTACATATAATGTGTGTATTATAATATGATTGCTTGTTTATTGATAGATGTCCAGATGTTGTAATGTTGTGGCTCTCCTTAAAGATTAGATATGAAAGCGTGTAGATTGATGCTATATATTAAGTATTACGGTCTCCCGTTCGTGCGTGTCCTGGTAGCCAAATTTCAGAATTTTTTTCATCACTGGTATAGCGCATCGTCCCCTTGCGAGAGGATAGTGGGTAGAGGAGGTAAATAAAAGGGTTAGCCAATGTACAGGGTTGATGTAGAGACATATTTTGTAAGTATGGTTAGGGTGATATAGATTAAAAGCTTTGTGGAAATGATGTTTGTTTTGCTATGAGGGGGTTGTAGTCTACTCTGTTCAAGACGAGTGAGGAAAGGATGAAGGAAGGCTGGTGATGGTTCAGGAGATAGATTAAGTTTCTTCCGTGAGTGTGTTGCAGGGGATGAAGAGAGAGGAGGCGAGGATGATGATTGTGGGCGTATGAGAAGGAGGTGATCGAGAGAGGGGGGTAAAGAGTTAGAGCACGAAAAGGAGGAAGCATGCAACAGCTGGGAGACGGGGGAAGAAAGGGGCTGTTGGAGCCAGAGACCGTGGAACATGAGAAGTGGCTGCAAGCAGGGGGGAGCTGACAGCGGCGCCACCACAATAGGGTGGTGAAGCGAGAGTACATTGTAGGGATAGTTGATCAGAGGATAACATAGGGAAAAGGAGGAGGTGCCTCCCCGATAGGTGCGTGTGCGGGAATGGTAGTACCTCCTTGGTAATCAACTCAAGGACGTCAGGAAATGGCACAGAGACGAAGGCAAGAATGAGAAAGAGGTGAAGAAGAGAACGTAAAGTGAGGTTAAAGTGTCAGACCAAGATGAGTGACACAGAGAGCAATTAAGTGGAGAAAGTATGAGACAGTAGGCAGAAGGGGAGGAGGGAAACCTGATTAGGTAGAAATGCTGGGGATTGCACTTGATGGCTCCTTTCCTGTCTCCCAGGGGATGGTGGAACCCAGAGAAGTACACAGTGCAGATATCACGTGTGAGGAGGGGGATAGATTGGGAACTAAAAGTTTCCAAGTTGTATGACGGAAGGCTGGATGAGAATGAGGGAGACCCTAGACACAAAGGAGAATGGGCAAGTGAGATGGTCGACCAGGAGAGCTAGTGAGTGTTGTGATGCTAATTGTGGAAGAATATGTACGATAAAGCGCGAGAAATGTAGTCTTTTATAAAATTGCGTCCAGGTGCTGGTCATCCGCATGGAGGCTTTTTCGATGATGTAGATACAGAAGATGGGACTCCATAAAGTGGCTTCCACTAGCAGTACCGACACATATGCATATTACCACAAAATCTGCACTTCCATCATACCAACCAGAGGGCATACAACCCCGCCTTCTATTTCTCAGAGGGCTCTCTCAAGAAAATCGTATGCACCGATGGTCAGAACATGGCTATCAGCTACAACTCTCTCGAGTCCGTGCTGCAATATATCCTTTATCATCAGTTATACACACACAGAGTGGACTACATAACAACACAACATCGAACACATAAACGAAGAATCATACCAAGTTTCAAGATGCCTCAGTTTTTAGTGGACAGGTACCCAGAACGCCAATTGGTGAGTCACGTAACAGAAACGGATCGATATGGAGCTACACAACCATGTACTCTGACTTGGCTAGGCTTAGTAAAAGTCTATGTCTTCGTTATAACCTGCTACCCCTTGATAATTCTTCGCTTTTTGACACCCACCAACAAATTCAACAGCATCTTACTTTCAGAATATTATTACTCTTTACAAGCACAGCAACTGAACAATCTCTGACTCTTACCCCTTATACCCATTGTTTACTTTCAAACTCAGCAGTCAGCACACACGAGGACCAAGCCACATATGCAATAATTGAAACATGAGAGAAAAATATCCAAACTCCAGCTCCCCAACCTTTTCAATTTCTCTCTAAAAACACTCCAATGGTTGCGACATATACTTACATCATACTTCACTCCTCCAAACAACGCAACGACCGACAATTTTCATATCGGACACACTTTAATAAATCAAAAAGAAAAAAATGGAAAAATTAATTTAAACGAGGATGATAAAACATATCCCAATCACTATCTATGAATTCGACAATAGTTAAATAGTAGAAATTCATAATCACGTTCTCTGTCCCTCGCAAATATATTCACCAAGCCTTTCTCCTTTCCACCTCCATTAATCTCTTTAATCTCCCTGACTACATCGTCCCCCTCACTCCCTACTAGTTACTCCTATCCAACATGGTCACTAAGAGACAGTTCCTTTCCAACATCGATTAGCATTAATCACGAGCGAAGTCTCTCATTTCCGCATCACTATATTAACGTGGCCCGTTCGCCCCAATAAAATACACACAAATCAAAAAAATCGCTTTCTCGTCCCGCCGCCGCGTAATACTAAAGATCCCCACTCACCTCTCACTCGAACAAATTGTTTGGCGTGCTTCCGTACGATACACATCGTGGTATTAACCCGCAATTCTGTTGCTCCCCATTATCAAAGCTCACCTCCTGCTTGCTCGCTTAGACACAGGAACTCGATGAAGCAGGACGGGTGATCCGCCAATTTTCCACTTGTCGAACGAGATGGATATTTTGACAGAAGAGAGGAGACAGCGACAACCATATTCTCACAGCAATTAACATATGCTTGGGAAACATTCCACAGCTAGTGCAACTATCTAAAGACTATATCCTTATTCAACTATAAACCTCGAATTCTGTGCACAATACACTAGTGCGCATCGATACTGTTGATCACCTCATAGCCAAACAATTGCGGCTATATCAATATTCAAGCTCTCCTGCACATGTGTTGTCACTTATATAGAATAACAGTGCTTCCTGTAGATGTTTATCTTATATATATGCTACTCAACCATACTTCATTCATAGTACAAGTACGACATACAGAGAGTTATAGTCTTTACAGAACTTTTATGTAATATAAACGATTAATAGTGACCCTCGAAGAGCTTAATCGAAATTTCCAGAGACTTAAAAAAAAGTCTGATAAATCAACTATTTAGACTCACGAGCAGATTTCTTTCACAATCCAGTCGAACACCACAATAGCGAACCAATCTCACACAAAACTCCCAAATCCTAGATACCTCACGCAGAGCACACAACAGTGCTTACCACATATAGCCCACCATCAATGCACAAAGTATGATCTGAAATACTATTATCTTAACTCAACTACACAATCTAAGCGACGAATGTACCAAACAAAACAGACAACAAAAAACATACAAAATTACTGAGGAATCAAATCGCGCAAAACAAACACCCCATTCATGACCATATACCAATAACATCATCCCACTCCTGCCCATATAATATTAAGCAACACTCACAAATTACATAAAATACAGAGCAAATACAAAAGCAGGCAAACATGGTAACTCTGTCAGTTGCTGGAATATTCAGTCCTTTTTTATTTATACTCTTACACCGCTCGAGTTCCAGGTTTTGATATTGTTAATATTTGCTCGCATTAAAGTAGTGAATCTATCCTATGCCACTGTTTGGTTCCCTACATTGCTTAACCAAAACCTTACATATTTTTGAGATTTGAATCGCTCTCGATACTGTCAAAGGATGGTAGTATCCTGATAAGTGCTCAGTGCAAGCCAAAGGTCTCTCTTAATAATATTTATTTGTGCTGAGTGCAAGTTACATTTAATTTGTAGTTATCCTATTTCAATATGTGTTCTGTTACTTATTGATTATTAATGATATCTACCCATTTTGTGATATATTATATTATATATAATATTATAACCTTAATATGTTTATTATTAGTTTTATTTAGGTCTAGATATTAATGCAAATGGATATTGTTAGGTTAGTTTTAACCTACGAGATAGATTTAGTTCTACACGAGGTTACGTTTTCTGCTCTTACCCTTCTTCTCGCACTCTGTAGTTTGGTCTCGATTTGTGTTTGAGTTACTCGTGATCTTCTTCTCCTCACCTCATACTCACCACTCTACATATATCTCATAAGTTCAATACATTACTTTGATCATTGAACTCGTCTCCCTTTTCCATTAACCATACTCAACTATTTACCACTTCTCTTCCGCCTCTTATTTGGAATTTTACTCATAATCTCCTTCTTTCTTCAACACTCTTTTTACTCCCACAACTACTTTCCCCCTCTTTTAAATTTGCTTATTGCTTTTGACAGCATATCTAACCTGATGCATAGAACATAATCCCCATACCAATTCTTCAACATAATCATAACACCGCACAGAACTGAAATTCCTCTGATGTATAAAAATCTTTGCAATACAGTGTGCATTTGAGTAGTAATCGTACCGCATAATTTAATTACTTCACCTATTTTATTTTGCTCATTTAAATGCTTGAGCCGCCCGATGTAACAGAAAGTTGATGAGATCCGTGTAGGCGCATAGAATAAAATAGAAATGAAACAACAATTATTTTGCATGGGCACATACAGGATAAGAGGGAGCTTAGGCAATGTGTTTTTTCTGCCTCATGTCCACAATCCATGATTTCCTTTTCGTGGCTAAAGTGTATGTTTACGTCACTGGCAAGCTGTGATATATTATTCCTAGTGTGAGTGATCGTATAAATAGATTTAACTTATTGATTTGTTGACTCGAGCGTGCTGTTTAGTGCATGGGTGTCTCAGGTTGCATTCCCGAGCCATTTGAAAAAGTTTATGGTGATGTGATCTGCACTATTGTATGTAGTAGGTGTGGCAAATAAATGTTTCTCTGTCACATATATGATTTTGTAGCTTAGATCTTGGGCTTTGTGTTGTATTGTAGTAGCAAATTTTTGTTACCTGTATTTTCCTGAGCGATACTGTATTATAAAAGTACAATGTTGTAGGGCATTTTTTATCGTTTTGGTGCATCTGTGAGATCGCTAGTGTTGAAAGGTGCTTATTAGCATGTTATAGATCTAAGCGGCATGTGTATGATGAAGGAGTTTTGGAATTTTTTTGTGGTGGATGATTTCTTGTGTGCTGCTGATGAATATTTGTTTTGTGTGCGATGTTAAATTTATTTTTTGAGTGTTTTTGGTTCGTGTGTACTGTGTGTGTCCAAGATAAAGATGAGTTTAGTGAGGTCGTTGTGTGTTGATGTTTTTTATCTCTATAATGAAATTGTGTGCGTGAGTTAAACATACCTTATTCTGCAGGGCCAGATTACACTTCATGACTGATTTCGTTCGTAGTTGCTCGGGATGATAACTGGTGGAGAGCTGGTGCTGATGGTTGGCAATGCCTTGTTCGACCTGCCTCGCAACTCTCTGCCTTTGGAGATGAGGAGACACCTGGAACAGAATACAGAAGGTGTGCAAGTTATTATTGCACAAGCTGTGTTGACTGCCTTGATGTGAATATTAAATTTTCAGGGTAAGCATGTATTTGATTGATAATTTTAGAAGTTATAGACCTCCCCAATCCCCGTTGTGGCGTTGTTGTCGGGGGGGGCTTTTGAGGATGAGACTGAGACCCAATGCTGGTATTTCCCCTGCCTAGGGCCTCAGCCCTCGTCTCAAGTAATTTTGGATGGTCTTTTCTCCCTCCAGCTCTTTCATTTCCATCCCTTCTCCAACGCGCCTTCTACTATTTACTTCTTAAGATTGTACTGAGGTGTGGTCGTGAGTGAGGATGAAAGGCTGACTTTGTGCCAGTCCTGAACAGCCTGAGGGAACCATGGGCATGGTATTCCCCTGTTTTGTTGTTTATCCCTTACCTCTCAAGGGCAAACCTGAGGGGTGGACTGTTTATTTCCCAACATATTTCCAAGGCAATAATATAGAAGTAATACCATATTAGAGGCAATGGAGCTTGCCCCTTCATCAAATAGTCGCCCCGATTCAAACTCTCCCGGTCCGCGATCCCAGGCTCTCTCTCTTTGACCACGACTCTGATACTTACTCACCTACTACCCACTCCTCAATGCCTGCTAGTGCATTATCCACCCAAGTGGTGTGACTTCCTACTTCTCAACCTCTTCAACTTCATCAACTCTACCCCCACAGCCTTCTTCACCAATTACCTCATCTTCCCTATTTACCTCAGTTCCTCTACCACTCCTCTGTAATACATACCCCTCGTCAATAATACTCCCTCTTCTCACACGACTGGCCCGGAATCTGCCTGCGACGGAATCGGAGCGTAAGCTCGCCTCCTCGACTGTCACACGTTCCGGGTGGTGGAGGATGCCCGTTGCGATGTGTTTTTATTGTGTTTTGTCTGGTTGTTCATATGTAATTGGGAGGTCACCCGTCGTAATATGGGTTAAATGACTGTTTCTTTTTAGCCAGCAAATGGGATGACCGATTTTTTGTGATTCCCCTACAGCTCCTACTCAGGCAATCCCATTCCTGGCAGACCTCATCCATACTTCAATAACATTGTACTGGAACTGTCTCTATCTCCCCAGCAAGCTGCCCTATGGATATCGATTGGTCAGATTGTGGAGAGTACTCAAAGCTGCCTCAAAGACTCAAAGACAATGAAAGAAATCCACCAACACTGCCAAAATTACTTTCAATACACATGACCTTCCCTTTCGTAACTACATTGGCGGACAATCCCTTCCTGTTCTACCATATCAACCTCCTCCCTGTCAATGTCAAAACTGTTGGCACTTTGGACATCCTGCCAAACACTGCTGCTCCACAGACCGATGCCCCATATGTGCCCAACCCGGTCATAACCGATCAAACTGCCCTGTACAAGCACGCACTTGTGCTAACTGTGGCGGACCCCATAATGTATTTTAAAAAGGCTGTCCCACTTACAAGTTTGAGTCTAAGGTAGCAACTCGTAGATACAAAAATGATCTCACTCTACTTGAAGCCAGACGGGAAGCACGCCGATAAGGTTTCTCTTATACTCCCTACTCAAGTAATGTCGCTCGCTCTGCCCCTCCCCCTCCACCTCAAGATGTTCCTATACCCTCCCCTATACCTACTTACTTATCTACTTCCACTTCTATATTCTACCTCCCCAGCAAATTCTTTTGCCACTCTATCCATCCCCCAAACACCCATCCTCCTCCTATTCATATTCCCCATACACCACTTCCTCCTACTCCTTCCCAACACAGTCCACCCCCCTCAACCCTTACTACATGTACATTCTCCCTCCCTCTATCCCCTCTATCATTTCCACTCCTTCCTGTATACACATGTGAAACACTTATGTAATTCCCTAACCTAAACTCACCATAGCCCATTCACACAGGAACTTTTTTACCCATCTTTAACTTTTCAAGATCACTCTAGATAGTTGATGCATAGCAACTATCATCCTTCACCCTACCTTTAATATACTTTCCTATAATGCTATATGACCTTAGATGTCTAGCACATTTATTTTGCTTTTTAACCATTAACCATTAACCTCAGGTAGAATTACAGAGAATAAGATGTTTGTAGAGAAAGGAGAATACTGTTAATTTTTGCTAGCTATTTATGGTATTATGTACCTAAAAAGATTGCATGTATATTTAAATGAAATTTGGCTTTAAAAAGACATTCTCTTTAATATTGCTTATAAAATGAAGTAGTATGAATTTGTAATAGGGATGTGCACCTAAATTTTAAATGGAAGTAAAAAGAAAACATCTTTATATGATGTAGTTTTGTTATGTGTATGATAATGGACTATAAAGTGATATGGTGTACCAAACCCAGTTTTTATTTATTTTTTATATTCTTTTCAATGTCTTATGTTCCCCCCTCCCCCTCTCTTGTATCAGAGTACGAGATTTTGAATTTACGGGTGAGTTGTGTGTGTTTGACCTGTTGGGCATCATGCTGTACCACGGTTGGGTTGTGGATCCCTCCAGTGAAGTTGCCCCTGTCATCACAGACCTCTCTTATAATCAGCTGACTAACAATATCTTCGCTTGGAGGGAAGAAGCTGTCAAGAACAATAACAACGACTTGCTTGTCAAAGGTGAGAAGAAAAAATGGCAACCTGTTTTTGCAGTCAATTTTTGTTACTATACCTACACCTGTATATGTATATTTGGATCTATATATGTGGGGGCTGCTGTAGTGCAGTGTTAACCTGTGTAACTGGGCACTAAGGAGTGTCAACAAGTACATGGGTTTCAGTCTTGACTATAGTCATATTTGGGAAGGACATCCACATAGGGAAATGGGGTCACCACCTGTTTAACAGGGCACTGTTATAAGAAGGTGTCTATGAAGTAGAACCAATATGTCTGGCCATTTGCATCTATATATATGTACCCATATCCGTATCACAGCTATGTCCATATCTTCATTTGCATCTGTTTTTATGTCTATATCTGTATCCATATCTATATTTGTATGCATAAGTATTTCCCCTTTGTATATTTTATAAGTGATAAGATATTTTGTTATTGTATTTGTCATCAAAGATTATATGGATTTGTAAAATGGGAGTAACGTAATTTATGAGATTATTTGTTTCTCATATTGTTTATTATTTTAGATTATTTATGGATTTTGAGTCCTGCTTTTAAGATTTGGAGTGGTTGACTGGGGAGCCTTTTCTCCATGAAAAATAAAAATTGCTTTTTGGGCATGGGTTAAAGTTGAATAAAATGCTTGTGTAAAACAAAGCTCAATTCGCACATCCAAATGGAGCATTTAAAGGGTAGGTTTAAAGTCTTATTTATCTGTTTTTTAGAAATTTTTAGCATGACTGAAACCAGCGAATAATTTGATTATATTTATGATATGGCCAGTGTCATTGTATTAGCCCCTTGGATCCAGGTGGTTCGCTGCCTGCACATGACCCAAAATCCAGGTGTTAGACTTACTTACGTAACCATGCTCACATATGGTACATTCCACACTCTTTGCTGATAGGAATAATGCAAGATTAAATGCCCACTGAGTCTAACCACCGTCCAAGAATTTTGAGAGTCATTGCCATCACCCTGACTTTCAGCCATAATTTTCTTAATGACATGTTCCCATCACCTTAGCCCTAAGCCAAATGTTTCCATAACGTCATGTTCACGTCACCCGCCCTTCAATCCAAACCTTTTCATGACATGATGGTCACGTCACCCAAATTGCAGGGGAGATGATGTGAAAAAAATTAAGATCGAACTAAAATTGTGATGCATTTGTAAAATGTAAGAGTTTCATGGAATAAAAGAAAACCAGACTACCATTGTCTAAAGTTGTTTCTCACCTCAAGGAGTGCAAGTCACAGCTCAGGCTATGTTGATGTAATTTTTTTTTCTTACCCATTCATGATGGTTGAACTCCTTTCACTTCATGACTAGACAGTCATGTGATCCATCAAGTGCAGTTGAGTCTGCTCTAAGTTTAATGTACTAAACAGTTGTTTACTTGTTTGGTTGTGGTCATTGAGGAAAAACAGTCCCTCAAAAGTAGTCTTAAAAGCTTTTTAACTTTATTTTCTAAACAGTTATTTATGCCATAACCAAGAGCATACAGAGCAGGTTAACTCCTTGGATCCGGTTGCTTCACTGCAGTCACATGTACCAAAATATGGGCATTAGGCTTATGTGAGAGACCACTTTGCTGGGTGCGCAGTTTGTAGGCCAGGTACATGCGAACACTCTTGTGCAGTGACAAGACTGTATGCCTCCCCTTTGCATTTCCAACGTCCATATTGGTTATTTGATTTGCTTTATCCAGATGGCAATAGATTGTTTTCCTTGCACTGACTCCATATCATCTCTAGGTTGTCCATAACTCAATGCAGTAAGAATAAAAATTGCAATTTTTTTTTATGTGTATTTTTTTATATTTTTTTCATAATATTCAATTTTCTGTAATACAACCTGTGCTGCTGGTCACAGTGGCCAAGAATAGGATGCTGAGCAGGGAAATAGCATCTTCTCTGGAGCCTGTGCTCTTCTAGTCATAGCTCATGGACACTACACTTAGCTCGATGGGAATAATGCTAACACCCCTTTCTAAATGTCAAATGAGTCTAATCACCCTTCAAGAGGTTTGTAGACCCATGGCGAGTCTTTTCTTTCCGCCATTTTTCCCTAAGATGCCATGATCATGTCACCTGCTCATCAACCCAAATTTTTTGTTAAGTGATAGTCATGTCAACCAGATTTAAGGGGTTAAGTTTGTTTCCCGTGCTTCAGTTTTTTCCTTTAAGAAGCTGACTCTGCGTACTGCCTTGCACACCTGGGAGATCCTTTTGTGAGTGGAGGAACCAGATGATGGCCTGAATATTTATCTTCAAGCTAATAATGAAGCACATTTCAAAATTTTGTTGCACATATCAGGATAGGATGAAATAGTGTAATTGTGAACTTTTCATACTCGTACATTGATTATTATTTGTGTGTGAAAATGGACTTCGACTAGAAACTTGAACTCATTGTAAGCGAGTTTTGCGAGTGAAGGAGATTAACTTAGCCCAACCACCCAGGTTTATGTGCTGTACCCTGTAGCTCTTTGTGAATTTTGTCACATACCGAAGGCTCCTCATGTACGCTGCCACCAAAGAGTACCTAATGATTGTACCTGGCTTACCCATTCTTTGAAACTGCAGGAAAATGTGTTTTTCCTTCTAACACTATTTATAATAATGATGTTAATATTCTCACAGATATTATAATTATTAAAATGTTATTAAGTTATTCAAAGCATTAAAGACAATAAAATTATATAATATAAGCATTCCAAAATCAACAAATATGGTAACCAGGTGAGATAGGTAGGGCTAATAACTGACTCCTTGGAGATGAAGTTCTGTTAGAGCCAATGATGTTTAAAGACAATAAATAAACTTATATAACTGTAGGCATTCTTGCCAAATGTGGTGATGGGGTTAAAATGCATAATATTGTGAACTGTAGTTAATAAAGGTGTATTGTTTGTAATAATTGATGAATAGGCAATACAATGAATAGCAAAGTATATTCAAGAATGTTAAGTAAATGTAGTTATAAAGTAGAGATAAAAAATTCTGAAAATGAATGATGTCATTACATATAACTGTTTATATTGTTGCCTATTCTCTTGATTTGTATTTGTTTAGATGAAACTTTTAATAATTATCTATGTTTTGAAGATATTACAAGCTTATCAACAAGCTTTTAAACTTGCATGGATTAGTTTATTCAAGAAAGAGGTCAGGGATTTTTTGCTAATTAATAGACTAAAGCTTGACTATAACAAGTACACATGATTATCTTTAATTTGTTTCACAGCAATGTTGTGTGAGGAGTTTATGGCAAACAGCGGATCGCAATTAACAATCCACGGCTTATTTGAACTCGGGTCAGCTTTACAAAGGGAGGAGATTGCGGTTCTCTTCAGAAACAACCACTTCTCAACCATATATAAGAGAGGGGTAATTATCCAATAGCTAAGGCCAATCTCGGATCGACATTATTTTTTGTTCTTTTAGACGGCCTTTGGGATTTTCTTCTTTGTTGTCATAAGTATTTTTTATTATTACTTGGATTATTGTCCAGTTATTGTCTCTTTCTCTCTCTCTCTCTCTCTTGCTCTCTCTCTCTTTTTGACTGTTGTGATTATTGATTATTGTCCCCCTCCCCTCTCTCTCTCTCTCTCTCTCTCTCTCTCTCTCTCTCTCTCTCTCTCTCTCTCTCTCTCTCTCTCTCTCTCTCTCTCTCTCTCTCTCTCTCTCTCTCTCTCTCTCTCTCTCTCTCTCTCTCTCTCTCTCTCTCTCTCCCCTCTTTCCCTTTCCCTTTCTCTCAGTCTCTCTTTCTTTCTCTCTCCCTACCTTTAGTGTAGGTTGTTCTCTCCTGCACTCCTCCCCCACATTAGACAAAATACTTTTGCAATACCCATATTTTGGTGGCTGTTGATACTCCTTTTTATAGTTTCCATTGTTTATCATGTATGTGATTATTTCATATCTCCTTTTATAGTTTATTATATGGTGTGTCCTGTGTGTCATGAATACTCTGTAGTCATTTAATTTGTACTGTGTTGGCTTGTCGATCCCTGAGTGAAATAGATTGATGAAGACAAAAAACCCCGCCTGCCCCTCCCTTCTCCCTTTTCCTCTGTAAGCCCCCTTCCCTTGCCTTCCAGTCTTTTCTCTTTAAACCCCCTTCCTATCCCTTTCTCCCTCTCCCCTATTTTGTCCCCTTTCCCCTTACCCTCGTACTTTAGTTTTTAACCTCTCTCTCGGATTGTCATGGAAATAGTAAATATGCAAAAACTGACATCTAACAACTTCAGTACAGTTTACTTGCCTCAAAGATGAATGATAGGCCATAAGCAAACAATAACAGCAACAATAATAATGATAATATTGATAATGGAAATAATCATAATGGTAATTATCATAATATTGATGATATGAGTCTGAATACTTATAAATATTTTGTGTGTGTGTGTGTTTTCCTTAATATTTATGTTGTCACAATTATAATCCTGTTTTACATTAAAATGAAGCAACTTCAAGTCTGCAGTCACATGGAATATGTATTCAGGTGTAACATGCCCATTTTACATAAGAATGAAGCAACTTAATAACCTCAGTCAAGTAGAATATAATTTCAGGTGTACTATGAATTTGTAACATCTGAACAATTAGAATTATGATCTGGGTTATTATTAATACTATTAATATTATTATTATTATTTTTATTGTTGTTGGTAGTAGTAGTGGTAGTGGTAGTGGTAGTAGTGGTAGTGGTAGTAGATATTTGTTATATATTGGAACTTTTTTTTTATAAGTATTTAGGAGCTAGTTACTAGATTCTATTTAGGCAAGTAGGCTACAGATGATAAACACATGATATTTACTATACATACCATATCTTCTTATTAATCTTGGTTGTCACATTGTCGCAGAACTGATTTTTTTTGTATAGCTTTCATATTAGCATATTTCATATTATCTTTGCAGGACCAGTTATACCAGCTTCTGACTGACCAGGGATTCCTCCATGAGAACATGGTGTGGGAAACACTCAATGATGTTGATGCCACTTTCTCGGAATTTGTGAATGGAAACTTCCAGCCCATTCCCCCAGTACCTGAGTCGACTCCTTCCTCTGAAGCTGCTCAGAACATGACCATGCAACAGCAGATCAACTCAGAGTAAGTGCAAGATGTGCACTGGCTATCACTGGGAGCAAGGATATATATTTTTTGTCATTGTTGTGTTTAATGCCAAGAGAATGATTTTTAGAGGCATTAATTCCTTCTCTGTTGCAAACCCATAAAGGACAGCAAAGTTCAGAGCTGTTAGCACATAAAATGGGATTTTTTTTTTCTTTTTGACACTTTGTTTTGGTTCGAATCGCGATGATTTTAATAACTATTCAGTTTGTACTTATACCTGAAAAATGCAGTTCTTGTACTTCACCCTTTAACCCATTAGTGATGAGTGATATGCTCTCATGTCATGGCATATATTACCAGAAGCTGGGTAACATATCATTACATCATGAGTTTTGTCTTGATGGCTGGGATCAGGTTCTGTATGTCTAACTGCTGGTCAATCACCCATTGTTAATTGGGCTAAAGGTCAAGTTTCAGTTACATGAGTTTTTCCTTAATGGATAGATATAACCAGTTAAAATTGGATTTAAGATTCTTTAGAGAATAGACAGAATTGTTAAGTAAGGGAAAGTAATTATGCTTTAAGATAATTTTTTTCCTCTGCTTTAATATAGTTGACAGATTCAAAATCTCACTATGCTTTGAAATTGTAAAAATAGTTGTAAAGTTTGAAGTAGTTCATCATTTGTACCAAACTTGGGCTTGCTTACTTCATTTCTGCAAGCAATTACTCCTAAGTGGAGCGGGAATAGTGTGTCTTCTAGTATGATGAAACAGGCAAGAAAAGGAAGCTGTATCTTAGACTTCACACCTAATAGATGAAGCTTGTAATCTTTTCTCACCAATATCTAGGATTTAATCTCACTCTTATTTTTTTCAATGCATGTGATTCATATTTGGTGATTTGTAAAATCAGGGAATCCTTATCTGCTTAGACATATGCATTGTGGTTTGTTTCAAGCCCTTATAGGACATCAGCAGTGAACACTAAATAGTGCTAGCATCAATTTGTATTCTTTCACTATCTTGTATCACTAATGATAAGAAGACTGACGTGAATTTTAACTAAAAGCAAGAGCTATGTAAGATGTATGTAAAAGTTTACATTCAACTCTCTTGAAGCATTGCCTGAGAAAGTTTATGTAGAAAGGAAGAATTATTAGGGAAAAGGTTTGCATAATACGGAGGGAATAGACGGGAGAAAATGATGATACTGATTAGATGAAGAGAGGACAGACTGATACATACAATGTTATAGTTGGATCAGAAAATAAATAACCACATGTGGTTGACTTGTGATTTTTTTCTTTGAAGGGATTTAAGATATAGCCATAAAAAGAATAGATAGATATTGGATCATATTGAAGGATATAAAGTAAAATAAGTATAGGTCGTTCTCATGAATTACGTGAAGTTACCTTCAGCTTTTAGCTTATGTTATGAATACACATTGTTTCACTAGCTTGGATTCAGCACAATGTTTGATACTTGGCAATTAAAAGTTTTGCGATTCGTAGCTTTTTGAAACAGCAGATGCACAACACTCTGATATGGACATGAAACTATAGATAACAACAGACATGGTAAGAGTGAGTACGAGGGATAAGGCTATGTA